AAATGAAACTCATCCAGGTACTAATGAAACACATCCAGGTACTAATGAAACACATCCAGGTACTAATGAAACTCGTCTAGGTACTACTGAAACTCATCCAGGTACTAATGAAACACAGCCAGGTACTAAAGAAACTCATCCAGGTACTAATGAAACTCATCCAGGTACTACTGAAACACAGCCAGATACTAATGCAGCACAGCCAGGTACTAATGAAACACAGCCAGGTACTAAAGAAACACATCTACGTACTATAGAAACTCATCCAGGTACCAATGAAACACATCCAGGTACTAATGAAACACAGCCAGGTACTAAAGAAACTCATCCAGGTACTACTGAAACTCATCTAGGTACTAATGAAACACAGCCAGATACTAATGAAACACATACAGGTACTAATGAAACTCATCTAGTTACTAATGAAACACAGCCAGGTACTAATGAAACACAGCCAGGTATAAAAGAAACTCATCCAGGTAATAATGAAACACATCCAGGTACTAATGAAACACATCTAGGTACTAATGAAACACATCCAGGTACTAATGAAACACATCCAGGTACTAATGAAACACATCCAGGTACAAATGAAACACATCCAGGTACTAATGAAACTAATCTAGGTACTAATGAAACACATCCAGGTACTAATGAAACACATCTAGGTACTAATGAAACTAATCTAGGTACTAATGAAACTAATCTAGGTACTAATGAGACACATCTAGGTACTAATGAAACACATCCAGGTACTAATGAAACACATCCAGGTATCTCATTGTATCATTTGATCTGAACTTTCTATATATCGAGAAGGAAAAGAGCTGTTATTAAATTATGTTTTTTATAAGTTGATCCAAATTAAAAATATATATATATCATTTTACAATTATCCTAAACTTGTAAACAAATATTAGGATCAATATATTCTATTATCCTCTATATATCCGTTTGTTTGTCTATCTATCTGTACATTTATCTTTTTGTCTTATCTATCTATCTATTCTTATCTTTGTCTTATTTGTTTGTTTGAAGTTAAGCACAAAGCTACACAATGGGCTATGTGTGCTCTGCCCAACACGGGATATCGAAACCCGGTTAGTAACGTTGTAAGTCTGCAGACATACCGCTGTACCACTGGAGGGCTTTTCTTATTTATCTGGCCATACACCTGTTTAATTGTCTATCTA